AAAATCAGCCACTTCTTCTCCTATCTCTATATTCGCTCCTTCCCTACTTTTTCTTCCCCTGCATACCATATAAAAGCTTAGCGCACATAAAATTGGTTTATGACCGTCTACAAAAAAGGATCAACAGAGCAAATCTACTGTAAAGAATACTTTTACATGGTGTGACTGTGACCGAGTTATAAAAGTAATAGCGTCTTAATAAGAGAGAGAAAATGAACCCAAATATCTGTTTCCTAGGATGAAAGCTTGCATAATGATGACTGAATATAGAATGGATGCCACAGAGATTAAACGAAGACGTAGGTAATCATCCCATTCATTCCATTTGCGGAGAGGACAACAGAGAATCATGACATCATTAGTGTCACTTATTGGTTTTTGTCGCCTTCATGGATCTTGCATATTTAGTAGGTAGCAATTTAGTTTCGTCTGAATTATTCTCAGAGACATTAGGTATATAAGAAAGGCAATTAAATGTTTAGTTGAACTTCACGTTTTAATTTCTTTTTATAAGTAGTTTATATTTTTTATTTTCTATATTAGCAATTTAAAATATAACGCATCATCTAGTAAAAAATGTAAAAATGTAGCGTACCTAACCAAGCACAAAAGAACACATAGCAATTCTGGGTCAGATGTTGAACGTAATCCATTTCTGGTCGGTCTAACCAACTTTAGAGAAAACAATGTAGCCACTATCTATCCTAAATTTACTGATTTGAAGTCACCATTAGAGTCTGATCTCCTGCAGATAGTCTCCATGATATTGCCTGCGGAAAAGGAAGGTATGCATATTTTTCGGAAGAGACAATTGTGCTGCACTCCTTATGGGACCACACCTAGTAATTGATTTGTATGAATACATAATGGGAGGGGGCCAATCTTGTGCAACTGCCCAATACGTTCGGGTGAAACCGAAAATGCAGCCTGGGTCAGCAGGGAGGGTCAGTGCGTAAAAGTCCCGTAACGGTCAACTGTCGTACGTATGAGGTATTGCAACTAAAAAAACATAATTTTAGCATAAATTTATGCGCTAAGCGCTCCTCCCATTTGGAAAAACACCCGCGAAAATCATGTAAAGTGAAGCTCGTCAAGGTGCGTCTAGCAACTCTTTGGATATGGTTTACGCCTTGAAAATGATGAACTTTGAGGGGAGTTTCTATGCGAGGAAACAGAAAAATTTCTTCTGAAGCTCGATCAAGGCTGTAGGACGGATGGGATAAGACCGGGATATTGTTTTGGGCTTAAAATTTATTCACTGCAAGAAACGAATGTGAGTGCACATTGTCGCGATGCAGGAGCCATCCATCTCGTGCCAACTCTGGACGAATTCGAACTACCTTTTTTGCTTTGAAACGCTTCAAATGGTAATGTAAAACTGTACATTTACTGTTTACTGTGGCTACATTACATTGACATCGAAGAAGCCAACTAACATGGGCTTGATCCTCGACCGAAACATACGAGCCTTCTTGGCTGTTTTCTACCAATCTCATTGAAAGACTCATGATTCATCTCCAGTCACTATCCGCTCCACCCAATCCGTCCTTCTCTTTTAATTCGCTCCACCTAAAAAAACTTTTGGGTGTTTTTTTCCCACCAGCCACTATCTGGTGGGCGGCAGTCCCTTCGGACTATGCTGGAAGGTGTGGCGGAAGGCCCTCTACAAACCTCCTGAAAGACGGACGAAATGAAAACAAAAGGGAATGAAAGATTATCTGTGGAGTGGTACTGCCCCAGCATTTGCCTAAGTGATCCAAGGAAACCACAGAAAAACTTGGATCAAGGCAGACAGACCCGGAATCTTACCAGCGTTCTTCCGAATGCTAAGTAATGGACTAAACCTCTAAGTCATCCCGTTCGGTATCAGATCTCCTTGAAACGTGAGATATACATAAAAGAAGCGTGCCTCCTGCTTCCATTATGGCGCTCGTAGCGTTACTGTTAGCCAGTGGCGTACTATTACACGATTACTGTTATTTAATTGCGGTATATCGTGTATTTATTTCAATAATCCGAGTAAAGCTATCTAATTCTTATAATCCTTCCTTTACTTGTCACAACATTAACAAATGGGATTAGTTTTATTGCTATCTGCTAAATAACCGTATAAAACTTTTCATCTTCTTGATTACAAGCACCTCATTTCCGAGCATTGCAAGAACTGTTGAAGTTCTTGCCTTTGTTACATTAAGCCGCTTATATTTTACCCTTTCACACTAACCGCAAATCTTTTACAACAATTCAAGTTATAATACGACGAGGTAGGGTGGAAATGAAAGCAACTTTTACAGATTGCTTACTCTATATACAGAGTTGGCGTGTTTAAAATAGAACCGATCCGATCTTTATTTATGTAACTCGCAGAAGTATATAACGCTTACTTGCTGAAGTTTTAGGATTTCATTCTAAATAAAAGAAAAGGGATTCTGAATGGAAACATTTTCTAACAGTAAAAGAAACCACTAGCGCCATTGATGAAGCCTTACATTTTCCGGAACTAGCCCAGTAGACGCTTTTTCTTGTTCAAGAAAAGTTGAATTGAAGCAATAAATAAATTTCCGTTTCTTATGGTTTCTATTAGTTCAGGAACAGAAAATACGTACAAGAGACAATCCATAAACCATATGCCTTAACTTAACCGCCAGATGATCTATCATGATCTTATTCATGAGCCTCATGAAACAACGTGGTATTTATAACATTTTTAAAGTTCAGTTTTTATAGAGATTTTACTTTGATTTTGTTTTTATTAAAAACACTTTGAAACAATAAATGTGAACTATCCATTACAACAAAAAATACTTCGTCTTCAGTCCTGCTATTACTGTAGATGAATAATAAAGATTATAAAATACGTTCAACTATAAGAAGCCACATCATTCAAATATCAAACCACACCTCCTAGATATAATATACACTTTAGACGTTTTCATAATTGTTGTTTAAAACTTTAATTATTGCATATTTAATGTAAAAGCTTTATGAGAATAGGTAGCAAGCTTGAGAGCGTGTTAACTAGATGCAATAGGGAATCTTGAGAAAACCAAAAGAAGTTGCAATCGGAAGCCGGCCCTGGGCGTGAATAGCAACTATATGTAAACATTGACGGTTGCGCTGTGCAAAGTAAATATCAACAGCTTACTACTAGGCTACTGCACAAGCTCATTGCGATAAAAGTTAACTAAACAACTACTTTCTTCATCGCTGATAATACGCAGTTCTATTTAAAGTTCACCTAAACTTGGTATTAAGAACAGAAAATAACGAAAAAATTAACGTTACGTCAAAATTAGTAGGTAAATTAGTATACTCAGGATAGATAATTGTAATTTTATTAAACTTCCTAACCGTCATTGATATATTGTTGAGGTGTGTTACCTTTTCTTAATGTTTGGTTTTCCAATAGCTCTATACTCCCATTAGCAAAAATTAATTACAAAAATACACACATACACACACATACGTATGTAAACCACAAGAAAGTATTTCTCAGTCACGCAAAAACAATCGAGATTTTGGCGTACTTCATTTGCAGCGACCATACACGATCGCACAAATCATTGGCATTCTGCTCCGGCGTTTGTACACGCGCTGTCTCATAAAATACGTTACAAAGGAGATAAGTGGATTCAGATCATGACTACGCGCCAGTCAAAGTACAGGACCCGTACGTTTAATCCATCGTCTAAGGAACTGATCGTCTAAAAGCTCACGCATTTGTTCAATGCAATAAACGTCGTCAATCACACAATCTAAAAAATAACAAACAACGTACAGAAATATAACACGAATGCAGCTAATTAGCAGCTGATCGAATGCGGCGTTGCAATCTTGTATTTCCCTGAGTGATTGCACCAGGGTAGGAGTGGCTGCTAAGCATACTTTCAATTTCGTTTTTATCGAAAGCGGTGGACTTTAGAACCACCAAACATTTATTTAATTTTCTTATTTTATAGCGCCCTATCGCTCCTGCGAGGTTGCTTCTTATTTCAGAAACACCCTGTCTATTCAGTAAACTAAAAATTTTAAAATCACAAAAATAACGAACAAGGAGCAGAAGTCCTTAAAGAAAACGAACACTCTTTCATCTTCTAATTGCCCAACACAGAGAAAGCTGTAACCATTCACAGACTTAAACTAGAATACATCATGACAGAAGGACAACATCCATAGTCAACAAGAACAATCCGCAGGATGTAGAGTACAGTTTCCGAAATTCTTTGGAGCCGGATAACCGATATGGCTAATCATCAGGGAGAGGGTCCTGTGGATTCAACGTACAAATATAACACACTTGCATATCATCGGCACAATTACCGTCGCCGTCGATCAATTAGAAAATCTAGATCATTATTGCAGGAAACGTAAATGCTAAATGTACAATTCGCATATAAAACCACGTAAATATTGCAGTACAAATGCGATGTAAATAATTCAATAAATCAGCCCCCAAACACATTCATCTTGTCTTAAATATGGAAATTCCAAACTTTATTCTTTATCATGCTCTTGTTGCCTAAGTATAATCTCATGTTACATCATCATTATCATAAGGTCGTCAGTCCTAAGACTGGTTGGACACGCACCTCCACTCGTTCTAATCCTGAGCTAATCTTCGCATTTCCCTAAAACTAGAACAACCCACATCCTTAACTATTTGCGAACAGTATTCTAATCTAGGTCTACCTCTACCCCTCATAACTCCCGTTTCTTCCTCTAATATGTCTCTGACTAGACCTTTATGCCTCAAAAGGTGTCTTACCAACCTTTCTCGCCTATTTCTTATTGACTTCCATAGAATCCTCTGCTCTCCTACTCTCTCTAAGGCGACTCGACCCTGCGCTATCTTCCGCTTTATATCCCTACTACTCCATTTCCCGATTTCCATTGGGTTTATTGCAGGTTGACCTCACAATCACTATAATTTTACCTAAACCACCTTCCGACTACTTTGAAACTGCAGTTTCCATAATTAACTTTCTTTTCTTTTTACACAGACTGAAAACAGGATGGAGTATGAAAACAGCATCGTTGGAGCGTGGCCCCGCTCCACAAAGGGACAATTCATTACCATTAAGGGAAGACGAACAAGCAACTATTATAGAAGTAATCAAGAAAGCTGAGCAAATTGACCTTTTGGAACAGGAAAGGGTAGGCAGACGACTTGATTATTACAAACAATTAGGTCATCCATTAATTACTTATGTATGTTCTTAATCGCTTTACGTCACAAAATAAAAACCAATCGGGAAAACAACCTACAAAAAATTATAATCGGTATATGGAACGCAAAGATTTTTTTGGAAGACGCTCCACTAACAATAGATAAATAATTGCTGAATTTCATTATTTTTGCAACGATATGAACCTTGAAACGCACTAGAGGAGATGCTTTTCGAATTCATGACTAATTGCTCCGCAACCTTTTCTACAATTTTAAACATATTAGAATCAATTATGTCTAGTTCGAGCTGATTGAATTAGAACATCACATTCATTTTTATATAATTCCAATGTTTCTCGCTAAAAAGCATGATTTTTTTTTAACTTTTAATCGCTTTTATATTTTTTATTTTTGAAAAAATTCCGTCAAATTTTTATTAAGCGTGTTGGGATCTATAACAATCAATTCCTCAATTATTGAAATCCAACAGGAATTATCCATAATGACTAAATCGGTATAGTTCAACTTTGATATCGTAACCCCTTGGCAGAAAAACTGGTCATGGAATCAAAGAACATCATATGAAATTCCTGGACTAGGACAGGCATACCCGGTATCAACCCGGTACTCCCTCAAATACTATCTACATCTAGTACACTAGACCATGCGGTTCGGTTGTTCTCGAATTTGAATACATCTATTGATTGTTTAGCATTCGGGAGGATACCGGTTTGATTCTGGGTTCGTCTGCCTTGGTTCAATTATATCTAAGGCTTCCTTGGATCACTTACAATCAGACAAATGCTGGGGCAGTAATAATATTCCACTTTTCTTCTGTCTTCATTTCATCTGTCTCATGGTTTCATCTTACTCAGTCCAATCATCACCTGCTAATTCCCACGATTCCGCGACGCTGATTCGATTCGAAGTAGTCTGGAGAAAATGACCGCCGATCAGCAATAGTAGCTAAAAGTTACTTTTTCTCAGTCAAACGTGAAGACAGGATAGCTTGTCAAATTAAGTATCGATTCAGAATATTCTCGTATTTCATTTTTTTAATCCTCGCATTTTTCTCAGCCAAAGAATGAAAAGTTTTTAGCAATAATGGTTGATTTATCGTCGAATAAAATAATTCGAAGTGGTCAGTGTTCTGTCGAAACTGCCAGACGCGGATCGCGATTTCATCTTTTTGGATCTCATCAGCGCGTCGCAGACAGCTTCGACAGAACATAGACCAACTTTTACCTGTTGTCTTAAAAGCGCGGTTTAGAAAATACCACAAATGGCGCGGTAAACGCCATCTGTAGTACGATGCTACAGTTTAGGATTACGTAATTCTCTTCGATCTTTTTATAATATGTACATTCTTCTTCGGGCGCTTGAATATTATCACAACGTCCGTCGGCACAAAACAAAATTCATAGGACTAAAGCCCGAAAGATTAACCGTTACTCCTAAAAATAAATCCAAAAACTGTTTCTAATGATTTTAGTCCATGATTGGTGGTTATTGAAAAAATAAGAGAATCTTCAAATAACATTAAAAAACCTAAATAAATCAAACTTTGGTAAAATGTTGCATCATTTATTTTCCACTTGATCTTCTGGTTTCGAAAACATTAATTTTAATTACTTCAGGTACATACCTAAACACATTTTCTATCTCTAAATATATATCTTCAAAATCCTTCACCTCACTCATACCTTTTAATACCCAAAGCAATTTGTCGATGTTGTCATCAAGTTTTGTATAGTGACATTTTAGGTAAATAAACGATTAGAAAATCGGTCGCCTGAAAATTTGGTATTTTTTAACAGATCGGTAGGCTTATCGATCGTTTGGAACAGCTTCAAAGAGGTGCTTTGGGACGTGGACCGAGTCAGTGCCTGCTGTGCGGAGAAAAATTCAGAATATTGGGAGGTAACAAGGTCGTCTGTGTCGACTGTCGGAAACCCGCATGTAACAAGTGTGCCGTTGAAGTAACACCAAACATTAGAAATATTAATAGGTATGTAAACAACAAGCAGAATTGAAAACATTGACCTAATATTCATATAAGTATAAAAACAATAAAACCAGTACTGTTCGTTTCAAAAAGTTAGAGATATGCCCCTTCCCTTTATTATGATGCGCAGTAACATAATTTCAAATTCAATCATATTTGTCTGTGGAGCTCATTTCTTCACCGATCATCGAGCGAGGACTAGACAAAAGTGTACAATACCATTTGCAAAATTATTTAAACTGCCTCGTTAAAAATTAAGAATATGCTTTATTTAAAAGAATATTTAGCCAAAAATAATAAAAAGTGAATTAACTTAACGCTCTACACACCTATAAAACTTTTGCTTTGTTTTCTATTGTTAACTTATATACATTTTTGTTTTAAGAAATTGCTAAACATTTTCGTCTAGTACTGTACAGTTCTATCCGATCTCCTAAGACCGCCCATCGAGAGCTCTGCTCGTTCAAGCTTGTTCCAACTATTTCTGTCTTGCTCACGCCTAGTGTGTATTCTTTCTATCTTCGCGCAGATTTCTTCAAGGTCACAATTCTAACAAATTGAAATGGAGTGTAGATAAGTATAAACGTGCGAATAAATTACATGGTAACTCTCTTTCTTTCTTTGAATTCTTCAACAGATGAACAGCTTATTTAATTTGTACGACCTTTGATACCTTTTGTTGCGTATTCACTACGTAACTCCTTTTATATATCACCACCGTCCCAGGTAGCTATTGAATCGTTATTAATTCTACTACGTAAGTACACCGCTGCGACATCTATGGTTAGAATCGCTACAGTACTAAGGCGCTCCGACTCCTTCCGTAATGATAGTTACTGCTTACTATTGAGGCTCTATCTATGTAAACATAGCATCTTAATATAGAAATTTGGTAAACTATTTCAAGTCAATTATTTCTTTAGAACTGTCGAGTAATTATGTTCATCCTGCCATCTAGCGGCATTCATAATGCACTACAATTATATTATCAGCGAACACAGACGTTATAGTTTGTGTTCAGATCGCAACTACGTAATATGAAAGGCATATAGAATAAAAAAAAATGTATCGAAGTGTAGATAAATGTAAAACAGTTGTCAAAGGAATTTTGTCATGGTCAAGGAGTTGGTCCTAATAAGTGTTCCATGTTATTTCAGTCCGTCAAAGGAAACCTGGCTCTGTATGATATGTTCCGAAACGCGTGAAATTTGGAAAAAGTCTGGAGCGTGGTTCTTCAAGAGCTTCCCCAAATACATTTTGCCGGGGGGTCAATCAAATCCTCCCAGCCTTACATTTGGTTCGAGAAGAAAATGGAACCGTAATTCATACCGCCCCGGGTCGAATTTCAGACAGAGGGATTTTATTGATGACAGCAGTTCAGACGACGAATCCAAGAGCTGGAATCGGTTACATCAAAGAACCAACTCGAACACCGAAAGCACGTACGGTAAGTTATTTTAATACTAGGAAACTTTATGCGTTAACTCCTTGCAAGGGAATTGAGTCACGGTTTCTTGCTGAACTAATCAAGGCCATGCACAAAATTGAATTCCCTCTGAATGTACAAAACTAAACATTTCTGAATTAAATAAATGCTGTGGCCTTCGCAACTTAAAAAATCCGTAAATGAATGAAAAGAACTGTTTCTAAATCTTTAATTTATTTAATCAATAGCATTAAGTTGAACACTAAGTATAGTTTAGTTCGTGGGTAGGTACAACTATCAGAGGTTTATCGGAACAAAAATAACAGATAGTTGAAAGATTCATAACCAACTAAGACACCTTAGCAGTAGTTGAATTTAATTCTTTAAAGTCTTAGAAAGGTCTTCTATAATATAAGAAAAATATATTGGGACCTTTTAATTTCAACTATTCCGTCATCAGATATTTGCTTTAAAGGAAGTTATCAAAGCATCGACTCCTCATCATCACAACGAGTTTGACGACTGGTCGTACACGCACCTCCACTGCTTCATATCCTGGAGGCAATTTTCGCCTTTCCTAAAAACTACGTTGAACACCTATTTGCAAACAATATTCTAATCAAGATCTTCTCCTGTCTCTCTCTACTTTTGTTTTTGCTTCAAATATGTCTTTAAGTGGTGGCCCTCTATGTCTCAGAAGGTGCCTAACTATCCTATCCCTCCTTTCCTTTTTTGACTTCCATAACTCCCTGTTTTCTCCTATCTTATCCGATACTTCCCCATTTAAAAATTTCTTTGTCCACGATAACCCCTCCCCCCTTCTAGATTATTCATCTATTCCACATCTACCTTTGTGTTTTCGTCCGAGACTTTTCGGGAGGTTGTGCGATGTTGATGAACTTGAGATTTGCGGAAAATGAATTTCAGATGGTTTGTTTTGAGAGAAGGAAAATGAATGTTTTTGGTTTACTACCTAGTCCACTGGTACCGATTATAGATAAATCTTCAAAGGTTCATAGAAATGCTGAAAACTAAGTGTAAATCCAATTCTTCTTCTTAGAACGATAACCCCATCTTTCAGAGGTTGGCGATCCAACTAGGTATTATGGTGGGTGAAACTGCACCTCTTAAAATATCTGCGTCACGAGTTCTGCTGTCTTCTCATAAATCTTCTGCCTTCGCTTTTTCCCTCAATTGGAAGATCTCGCAACCCTCTCCTCTCATGACGAGCCCAAAGTACTGAGTTTTTCTTTAATGGCTGACAGGATTACCAGGTTACCGGATCCGCATGATTATTATAAAAACCAATTCAAACCATAATTTTAGCCTAAGTAAAAATTAGCCCCCTGTTCACAATCGCATGTCTGTATGAAAATGTAAAAGGAAGATTGCTTCCATATAGTTTTTAAATTATTCTTTTTATTTCTAGACTCCGTCATGCGCGTCACCAAGTATCAGCCCGAATTCTAGTTAGATATGTATTCCATCCTGACTCAATCTTCGAATTTCCTGAAAACTAGATGATCTTACATCCTTCACTTTTTGCAAACAGTAACCTTATTTAGGCCTTCCTTTGCTGCTTCTCTTCTCTACTCCTGCTTCTGCTTCTAGTATGTCTTTAAGTCGCCATTCATGTTTCAGAAGTTGTCCTACTATTCTATTTTTAGTAATAATTTGCAAAGAGTCCTCTGTTCTCTTACTTTTTTTAATATCTTCTCATTTCTAAATCTTTATATCGTCGGTACATTATCATCATCCATCTACAACACTAGATCTCAAATGCTTCTAACATTTTTTACTCAGATGCGATCATTTTCATTCTCCCTACCGCTTTCATTTTATTCAAGGGCATCTTTAACTCCTCCTTGCTAGATATGTCATTCGGAAATCTAACGATAAGGATGCTAATCCTTTGCCCCTGTATGTTCATCCCAAAAGCCATCCCGTCTTTAATGACATTATTTGACGAGCTCTCTGACAAAACCATTTAATGAAAAACATAGAAATAACCATTTCTTCTGGTTCTACCTTTGCTAATTCCAAAGAAAACTACTTAGAAATTTGGAAAAATTCTGGAAAATACGTTTGAGGAGTATTTTTAAATAAAATTGTGTGGAGTATATTGTATTTATTTCTTACATTTACCCGATGTATCATATGATTGGTCTCATTCGGTAAATATCCGTGTTATTATAAATTTCTCTAGTACCTACCACATGGAAACGGATGCAATAATGAAGCAAGATATTGTGTAAATAAATGGAATCTAACCTTACCATCTTGATTTTGTTCTCGGAAATGTCTTTATTTTTTGAAATAATAATAACAACTGAAGCCAAACAGTCTACACCTGTTGCTGCAGAGGTGGAAATAAACGTCGCGTTATGTACTTAATACAAAAGCTATTTCAATATCCTAGCCGAGGAAGAATTTCAATATAAGCGTAGATAAATAACTTTCCGGTAAAACGTAAAATTACAATAAATTTCTGATGTTTCATAACGAATTGCTAAAGGTTCTGCTCTCGCCTCTTTTCAATTGATTTTAGAAAGCAAAAATACGTTGATTGAAATATAACCAACGAATTTATGATTCCAAGTATTAAAACTTATGAATATTGAATCTCACTTTGAAACATTTTTGGATATTGTAACAACACATAAATAGGATGTCCAGTAACTTGACCCCGTCATTTTTTAAAATAACCCATTTTTGGACTGGGTTAAATTACGTTACCGTAAGTGAGGTTATGTCATGATAAAACTAAGGCGGCCAACCGTCCCGCATTCTGCGGGACAATCTCGTAATGACAGTTGAAATTCCGCATTGCAATATTTAATAAAATAGTCCCGCGAATCGTCTAAGGCGTCCCGTATGTCCCGCATTCCTCGTTTCCAAAATACGAACGACAAAACACCGCGGCGCCCGGACTTCCGAAAAGTCGTCACTAAAAGTAAAAACATTACATGCAATGCTAATTATAAAATTTAATATGAGCACCTAGATCTAGTAAAAAAATGCCACTCATGCGAAAAATACGTTAATTAAATAATGAATTAAAAATAAATGTTAATTCAGTTATAGTATTTTTTGTTTATAATTTAAGTACACCACCATCATCATCATCATAAGGTCATCAGTCCTAAGACTGGTTGGACACGTACCTCCACTCTTTCCTATCCTGAGCTAAAATTCGCATTTCCCTAAAACTAGAACAGCCCACATCCTTAACTATTTGCGAAGAGTAATCTAATCTAGGTCTACCTCTACCCCTCGTAACTCCTGTTTCTGCCTCTAATATGTCTGGTGAAGGTGTCCTACGAACCTATCTCGCCTATTTTTTATTGACTTCCATAGAGTCCTCTGTTCTCCTATTCAACAATTCCAAAAAATCATCAGTCTTGTTGTCCCGCATTGACTTATTATAAAGTTGACCGCCTTAGATAAAACTATTACGTAATCAAAATGCGATGAGATCATACCTCTAATGGAAAAAAACGTTTTATTAAATTAATTACCCAATTTTACGATTAATAGGTAATTCAATTTGCAGTTGATTGATGGAAATTCATCATGACTATTAATAAAGAACCAATTTGGTAATTTCCATATAATTATAAATGCCTATTTTGTCAGGAAACTTAATCTACATTTGCAAAATTTGTTCTTAGATACTGTTGGAGGGAGTAGTACGGATAAGGAGGTTGGCTGCAGTAGTCAATTACTTGACTCTGTTTGTTCGTTGATTAAATTATTAATACCTATACGTGTATATATACAGTAGAACTCGGTTACAGCGTTATAAGAACCGACGATATTTTGACGTGAAACCCGTAATAAATGAAATACTACAACTGTTAGAAGCAAATGTCACTAGATGGCAATATACTACCTACTGTTTAATATTATACGATCTTCCCTTTACGGAACAACTTCGGTTTGATCGGTAGTTTATCTGATACATAAAGTATAATAGTTTGGATAAATTACTAACTAAGAACTTAATAGTCCTTATTTGTTATTAAGTTATCATTAAAGCTATGGTTGTGGTTTACATTTCATTCACGCATAAAGAAGGCAGTCAATAGTTCCTTAATAATAATTATAATAGTATACAGGAATAATCCAAGATCCAGATAACACTTGAAGTTTCATATTTTTCGACAGCAAGATATTCTATAAAATATGTTACCATCTCGTCTGACTGTTAAGAAACAATTTTATTGGATATAAAGACCAGATGTACAACGAATAAAAATAAAAATTGTTAAAGATTTATTAGCTACTAATTTTTGAGTGATGCGAGTACATCCATGGAGCTGCTTACCATTCTATCTAAATAACATTATGTCTGATCAGTATTCCGAAATTTAAAAAGTAACACTTAGAGACCATGTAAAGTACATCTGTTGATAGCGCCACAACCCCAGTTAACAAACTGTTAATGATTGAGAACAATTGCCAGTTTGACAGCAGCATTATCTAATGGCAAGCGTCAAGTGACGGAACATTCATACCTACTCGTGACCTTCGTAGCAGCTGGTACACAAACAGGTTAATTGCACGTGTGACTATTATTCGCCATCGTTGTCGGGGCAGTTCGGGCTTTCTAAAAGATCATTACCCTCATGTTTATGTACATCAGAGAGAGGTGCAATATGACTCATTCTATTTCTCTTTCATGTACTTTCTTCTCCCTTAGGTATCTTAAAGCGAGAAGTCACTTATTTAATCACTAACTAAACACGAAATCTCGAAAAATACCTGACTTATGAAGCTGAAATTTGACAAGTTTATATATAGGAGAAGTCCGGTCTGATTTGTCAGAATTAAAGGGATGTAAAGGCTATCACAATTTTATACGACAGTCCGATGTGTGCATTTGCTCCTAGCGACATAAAGATGAGTTATTCTAGTACATCATGAAAATGTTGATAAAATTAAAATGAATGTGCTATACACCACCGTCCAAATTTGGGACTCGGCTAGTTTATACATGTAGATTTTATATGTAACTTCACACAAATATTTCAGATCCGTTGGAAATTTCGCCACGTTCTCAAAATCAGTTGCTGTTCAACAGAGAGTTTTCGCATAGGAAAAGCGGAAATTACACGCCATTCACTCGTCAGACAAGTTCCGGTGAATCGCAATCGTCCAAGGATACGGCCAGCATTTGTACCATAAATACAACAACCGAATGCAGTCGGTATGTCATTTTCGCAATCAGTTGTTTCATATTAAAAAGTTACTACATTTATGATAAAGCGTCAAGGACCGTTCATAAAATTTAACGTCTTTGGACCCTCCCCCCATCCATAGTGACGCTGCTTCATTTTTTTCTGTATAACCCTCTAACAAAAGCTAAATCCTCATCAGCAGAAAAAATAATTAAAGTTACGAAAAACATAAAATAAATTGATGAACTGCTTACGTCACCCGTCTTTGGACCCCTTTGTAACGCCAAGTAATAAACCTCCATTCCTCTTGTTTGCGAAAGCTTATCAGGAACAGCCTCCTAAAGTAAAACTTACATTTCGTTTGAATTCTAATGTTGCTACTTAAAAAATCGTCCATTTTAGGAAATATTGTTGCAGATAACGCTTATCAACTGAAACAAATTCAGTACTGTTTCAAAACTATTAAACTGATAAGCTTGATTCTCGCTATCATCTAGTGTTCAAGAGGGGGTACCTTTGTACCTTTTGACGCAAATACGAATACATTTGGTTCATTGGTAATCAGTAGAAGGGTGATACTAGATTGATATTTGGACGTTCTGAAGTACGAAAAGAATTTTACCTCTTCATCTAACAATTCCTTATACAAAGTGAAAAATCCCCTTTCAATTTTTCTGCACAATAAATTTTTGTATACACATTATTTTAATTTTCCTTCTTTTATTGTTTTCTTTTACTTCTCCATCCCTTCATTTTCTTGCTCAAGTAAAAGTGCAATAACTGCTAAATCAGTAAGTAAATAAAAAATTTGCCAAAAGACTGATGATCATCTATTATAAAATGTGAATACAACATACAACTGACGAACAACTGAAAAAAAAAACCTTTGGGTGTTTTATTCCTACCCGCCTCTAATGCTGGTGGGCGGGTAGTCCATCCGGACTACGCCGGAAGGTATGGAGGAAGGCCCTCGTCAGCCTCCTTTCAGAAATTGTTAGAATGGGTGGGTGGTGGTTCGGGTGAGAAAGATGAGACGGACGAAATGAAGATATAAAAGAATGAAAGATTATCTGTGGAATATTACTGCCCCAGCATTTGCCTAAGTGATCCAAGGAAACCCCAGAAAAACTTGGACCAAGGCAGACGGATCCGGAATCGAACCGGCATCCTCCCGAATGCTAAGCAATGAAATAAACCTCTAGGTCATGCCGCTCAGTGAACATCTCATGTACGGTTGCCTGCCAATGTCTAGATGTTTAGTGGGAATCATCCTTTAATCTGCTAATCGTATGAGTGAACTGACTGCTTTATTAGTAATCAGTAGATATGTTGCCTCAAATATTTGAAATCTAGGAATTGTACACAATTCCTAGGAAATGTATGTATACAATTCCGATGCTATTTAGGAAATCTATAAAATATTGTTTCAAAGATTTTTTAATACACACACCTTGGGAAATGTATACATACATTCAAGGTCATAGTGTTTGCTGAAGCAAAATCAATCTCGTCATTATTCTAACATCTAACATATCAGCCCGGGCAGGGACATTAAAGAAACTCCAGTCTGTCATAAACATCCCTAACCAAACAATGACGTCACCAAAGGATATAGGTACATCTCCAAACAGCCTGCCGTATTATTGCCTATTTAGTATAACCTGTAATACATTTCCGATTGCTATTTAGGAAATGTATAGATTTCCTAGGAAATATGTCAAATGTAATTTATTTCACACATTTCCGGGCGATTTTAGGAATTATATACATTTCCTAGGAATTGTATGCAATTACGGATTTCATACATTTCCGGTAACAGATACAAATATATCAACAATTAAAAAGTCATATTTATTAAACGCCAGTAACACCTACTGATAGAGGGTGTTCAGTATGTGACCTTTATGTCTTTAGTTACAATAATTCTGGGTAAAAAATAATATGTAGATTTCCTTTTATTCCTTTTATTATGCCTTTTTGTGTATGTTTCAGAATATTTTGGATCAAAATATTGCAAAATAGTCCTACAATAGTTAGTTCATTTCAATATTAGACAAGAACGAGTCAATACAATAGTTTATAGGCCTATCCTGATTAATTAATAATAAAATTGATTAACAGCGTGATTAAATGCTGCTTCATAGATGTACGGGAACTTCAGGTGCAACCCTAACCGCAACGCGCACTTGGGACGATCTGGCGATGACTACCACGTCGAGCGACCAAGCGGACAAGGGTGGAACGGATTTGGCTACGATATCATCCAGGAGAGACTCGATGGCAAGTCGTTCGATGTCAGAGTTGAACTGGAGCGATGCCCGCAGTGAGGAACGAGTCTCCCCCAGTTACAGCTGTTGCAACAACGCGGGAACAAGTAATTACAAAGTGAGTCCATTCTCCCGTCCGTTAGCTACTAATTAAATTCCGCAGGTCTCGAATGACTCGAAATTAAAATAACGGCAGTCGAACCATTCGTAACATTATTGGTTATCCAGACCGAACTTTAATACCAAACAAGGCTGCCCATAATTCGTATAAATAGCTGCAATCTAAATATTAGGAATATTAATATCTTTCATGTTTATCTTGTCATCACTCGTAGCTTAATGGTCAAAGCATTGGCGCGCAAAGCCGAACGTCCCGGGTTCGATTCCCGGCGGGGGTGTGACAACAGCATCAATTTTTCCCTCATTAATTTGAGGTAGCGTGTAGTGGGTAAAAAATTCAAAAATGAATTTTCAGAATAATATTTCATATTAAACTAACTCACTTCTAAAAGATGTCTAAATTGTATGTATATTTAATCATATAGTAGTATATTCAGTATATAGTTACATTAGTTCGACAGATTTGTGACCTAATAAGTACGGTTTGTCGTTGTAGCTGTTGTCATCTCTCGTAGCTTAGTGGTCAGAGCATTGGCGTGTAAAGCCAAAGGTCCCGGGTTCGATTCCCGGCGGAGCTCTGACAACAAAAACAATTTTTCCTTCCTTAATTTGAAGTAGTTTGTAGTGGGTAAAAATTCAGAAATGAAATTTCGGAGTAGTATGTCATATATTAATATCTCTATATACCGAAACGCGATAAACACCATCAAAGGCTTGGTTTAAATACAAAATAAATTTGTTGGGGCAAAATACCATAACGGTACACTAAATCTGCAAGGAAAAAATTAAGTAACCTAGGAAATAAAGTGCACTTGACAAAAAAACTTGGCTGTTTCATTCCTACTAGCTACAAATAGTGGTAGACGGGCACGCCTTCGAACTACGTCGAAGAGTAAGGCGAAAGGACTTCTTCAGCCTCCTCACCATTATGGGGCAAAACGGGAAATTTGAGTTCCTTATTGTTGTTCCTCATTATCAGAAAATTAGGTGATTTAGCTAGTAGAAAGTTTTGAATATCTTAAGTTGATGCATTATGTTGCTATCTGAGTAAAAGTTATTTTATTAAATTGTTTATTGTTTTGGTAAGATGATGTTTTTATAAGTATCGCATTTTGCCCCTGTCACCCCTAAATACATATCTCATTATCATAAGATCGTCAGTCTGGTTGGACAAACCTTCAGTATCCTGAGCTATTTTCGTATTTTCCTAAAACTAGAACATCCCCTATCCTTAACTATTTGCGAACAGTAATCTAATCTAAGTCTGCCTCCAATCCTCCTAACTCCTTTTTCTGCCTGTCACTGACTAGCATTTCTGTACAATTCCAGTTAAGATTTTTAACACATGGGAAGTTAAGCTAATTCTTCTGAACGTCTCGCACCTATCCGCGCTTCTTTTTAGGTATGGTTACTTCCACGTTCTGTTTATAATCCTCCGGGACTATCCAATGTGACTAACTAGCTTAAACATACGATCTCAAACCTCTTGTCCTGCATCTTTTAGAATTTCCCCCTGTATCCCATCTATGCCTTATTATTCATTAAGTTTTTTAATGCTACATCGAACTCTTCTCTCATTATGGAATAACCTAGCTCATATCTATCTCCGCACTATTTTCCTTCTATAATATATCTCCTAACTCACGTATAGGTTCTCTAAATATTCTTTTCACCTGTCTTCCTTTTTCTCATTTTCTATCAAAATGGCCCTACCTCGTTTCTTATATTATTACTATTGTACCCTACTTCTCTAAAACTCCTTTTTAATTATATTATAAACCCCATCTGTTGTACGTACTTCAAACTTTTCTTCTACTTATTTACACCTCATACCGATTCACTGTTACTCTACACTTCCTAATTATTTCTTCTTTCTTTCTCTACACTTCCTAATTATAATTATTTCCTCTTCTTCCTAATATAGAGGATAATTATTATGAATTACAAAGCAGACTGAAATTAATGTTGATTAATTAGAAAGTCATACTTTCCTATATAAGTCTATTCACGGAAAGATCATAAATGCCAGATCGCATTTTCTCTATAATTTCCTTTACAGGTTTTATGATACGAAAAGCAGACCACCCTGTATAAATCGATATAAGTAAATAAAATAGCGTTCTTGTAATTTAGTGTCGTCAGTTTCAGTTTAGTAGACAGTCAATTCATTTTTTTTTATCTCTTCCTAAGTTTGCAATATTAAAGGTGTGAAAATTTGAGATGGCTTTAGTATTTTATTAAGAAGGATTTCTTTGACGTTGAAATCTAATAATCCTAAAGTCTTTAAAAACATTCTAAAAGCATTGACAAACTTATAACTCCAACTTTCATTATATTTTTTCACTTACTATTAAATGAGCTATTCTGGATAGACCTTCGCCTTTTCGGCAACCCTCGTCTAAATTAGTCAGGTTTACACAATTTTCTCGTTATTGTATTCAAATTGCATTAAAATATGTAAATTTCTGAAAAATCTCAACTTCGTAGCATAAATCAAGAAAGGAAGCTGTTTATTTTCCTTGGAAAATCTCAGCTGCTCTGCTTTCAATTTTAAAATAATAAGTTCATACCTGTACATGAAATAGTAACTATAAGCTGTTTATACCGACAGTTATCGTAGCCCTTACTGCATTTTTTTCCACATTATCAAACTAGTTTATGCCTTCGTTTCAAAAATATTTATTATCTTCATACAACAAGTGTAGACCATATGCTCAATAGAAGAGAAACATCTGAGGATTGTGTAGAATAACACAAAATCGCGTCATAGTCGAGGTTCTACCCCAAGCAAGTATACTCCGTTTACTTTCTGTAGCGATGTGACCTTCAGTTTGACCGGCGCAAAGTAGAAAAGAACCGCACTAGGTCAGAAAAGGAAGGAGACAACTCTCGGCCAAACCCTTAACCGGTGAGAAGCGTATAATTCGTACAGTACCGCACGGAAAAATTGACCATTTTATCCACTACAATTGCATTGCTCAAATGTGCTGTTATTGGTACTATTTAGTACTGAAAGTATCAACGAGATGTTTATTTATATTTGAAGGCATATTAAAGGCTTTAACGCTTGTTTTCGACTCTTACTACTATTTATGATTCAACAAAACGTTTGGCAGGTACTGTATGAAAAAGTATGTTTAATGAACAAGAGTCGAGAGTATAATTAGCTTTTCTCTCCCTAGCTACGATTTTACCAGCGCGCATCCAAGACACTGGAAGGGGCACATCGCTAGAGAAAGTAAATGAAGTATTTTTTTTTATGTTTTCGTGGAAGAGGGGAAATCTTCAAAAGACACCCAGCCGTCCGTACGACTGGGTAGTGTCGGATTCCCGAGGAAGAAATCCTCGGACCTACCAACTAAAACCCCTCTACCTCAGGCCGTTCTAGGACCAACAAGGTCCTCTTCAGCCGTAAATGAAGTATACAATGCCACGTACTCAGAAAAAAACCTAAAGCACCAGTGGAAAGCTGGAGACCCTATAGCCTGCCCTTTAAGAATTGCTAAAATGTGTGGTGGCGGTGGTGGTTGGTAGGGAGAAACAAATGAAACCGACGAAATTAAGAGAGAACGGAAATGGACGATTATACATTACATACTTTTGATGCTCCACCATATACTTTAATGGCCCAAAGAAGCTATAGAAAAGATTGTACCAAGACAGGTGGACCCGGAATCAAACCGACGTCCTCCGAAATGCTAAGCAATGATCATGAGACCGCGCTGCTCGGTATTCTGGGCTTACAGGATGTCCTCATTTCACTAGTCTCATTGACGTAGGACTTATGGTCACACTATACATCTTCTAACGAGAAAAATTCGCTACTTCATATTTTTTTGTATAAACGCGGCTACTGCCTCTTGTTAGAGAAACAAAAAATTTTACTTTCTCTTCTGGTTCATGCCCCTGTTTTTACACGGAAAATTACGAAATTAAGAACGAGATCTAGACTTTTCCACACGTGCCACAAAAGAGGCCATAGTTCGAAATTGAGTTGAGAAATAACGAGAAAAATAAGTTTGAATTGTAATCTACGAGGGTGACGTATTTTCGTTTCACTCGATAGAATTCAGTATCCTGCCAAATGAGGTTCCACATTATGAATAAATTGACTTTACGTACTGTTGATAAAACGTGGAACTACTAATAACAAAATGCTCAATTTAGTCAACAATATTGGCATTTAAATGTCATCGGTCATCATCATCATCATCATCATCGTCATAAGATCCTCAGTTCTGAGATTGATTGGATATGCACCTCTACTCTTTTCTATACTGAGCTAATCTTCGCATATCCCTAAAATTAGAACATCATACGTCTTAAACTATTTGTGAACAGTAATCTAAAGTAGGTTCACCTGTACTCCTATTAAGTCTTGTTTCTGGTCCTAATATGACACTAACTTAGCCCTTCATGCCTGCGAAGCCTTTTTCTTATTAATATTTATAGCGCCCTCTATTTTACTTATTTCCTAATTTCTAACCTTTTTTTATCCACGGTATCCTCATCATTAAATCTTCTAAACTTTCTTTTCCACTGCGCCCACCGTCCACGTTTCGCACCTATACAGAGTCGTGCTCCAGGCATACACTTTTATGAATATTTTTCGAGTTTCTAACTTAACCGATCGCGACCAAAGGAGTGACTTCTTTTTCTCATTTAAATATAAACAAAATTTCATCACGTTTCAGAGCGAGTAATAAAAACTTTCTAAATTCATTTCAAAAAATAGAATCTGACCTCCTTTGGAGCAAGGGTGCGCATCTAAAGAGAACCTAAAAGAATTGAATTGGCAATTGTTGAAAAGCCATATATCCAACATCCGTCCAATTTTCATTCGAGTAAATTACATATTCAAAGCTGCTTCCTCGTGTAGGACGGATGCTATAACTTTAAATTTATTGAAGCTAATATGAATTATTTTCAAAAAGATATGTTTTTTACAATTTTTTCGTTTTTCTCGAATGCATCGATCATGTAGATCGATGACTCATTTCATATGGTTTTCATTTCTCTACAATTTTTTGCTTTACAATCAGAACGACTTTGTTCGTACTTTGAATTGAAAGAAAAATTCGCATTTTTGATTATTATAATTAGTCATGCTTTAAACCCACCCTGTACAGTCTGATCCTGGTTGTTTTTTTAATAAAAAATGACCTGCTTTTGACCTGTATTCCCTGATCTATTAATAACCATATAAACCACGTGGATTTCGTAGATGTATTGGATATAATTGGATTTAAAAATATTTTCACCCCTTGATGACAAATAAATTTCAGACCGTTGCTGAAGAGTCCACGTCAACCTTTAAACACAACGACTCCTCTGTGGGAACTATGGAATTCTCCCTGACTTACGACCCCATTAAACTGACTCTTCATTGTGCTATTTATAGAGCCAAGAACCTACTCTCGATGGATATAAATGGATTATCCGATCCATTTTGCAAAATTGACATCCTTCCAACTACAAAAACCTCAACAAGGTAAATTAATAGATAAATACAAAGGTGAATATCATAAAGAAGCAATATTAATAATAGAATAATACACAACGGCTAAGGGATTGTAACTATATTTTATGAATGATAAAAAATGTTATATAGGTATCTGAGATTGCTTCTGAATATAAAAAATTCAGAATAAAACTTTTATTGTAGATTAAGAACCAAAACAGTACACAAGACAAGGAATCCAGAATTCAACGAGAATCTGACATTCTATGATATAACTGAAGACGATTTGGCTAAGAAGACGTTGCATATATTGGTCATGGATGATGACAAGTTTGGACACGACTACATGGGGGAAACCAGAGTGCCTTTGGCGAAATTGAAGATCCAAAATACGATATATGTAAGTAATTGCATGACAATATCTAGTAGCTTTTTAATATTGTGTAGACTGCGTATTGCACATTATTTGAGAAGTATTTTAGTAACATTTGAGGAAAAAAATTATAGCTTCACTAGAATCTCCATTACATCTGACTTCTGACGATAGCTATGGACCAAAGGGTCATTGCCAAAGAGAACACCAAAATGGAACTAAATCTAAATACAGTTGGGTAGATCAAAATTGGCAAAGTTCGCAATAAATTATCTGTGAGAATCGACGTATCTTCTCTCTTATTTCTATTTGGGACTGTAGTCATTTGCTGCATTTTGAACACGCCCTTGTTAAGTTAGGGAATGCTTCAAGAGAAGTACAGGTAAAATGGAAAAATATAACCGAATAATTTGAAGCAGTGCAGCGGTTAAAGGTCGTTTAGGTACGCGAAAGATCAGGTTCGGCTTCATAACTGCCTGGTTGGAATTATATCTTTAAAGAAGCGTCTGTGTCTTCCTAAATTCCTGAGAACGTTGGACTTTCCTTAAAATCCGATGCTGGCAACATGCTCAAATTCTGCTTATCCGCATCTCTTTCTGTTGTACATTAATTGGTGTAATGTTATCCCTTTTTCTTTATTAGTGTCCGCTGCAATTCCTATCTGGCATCTCTTTTCTATGTTTACGATATTCCCTACAACGTCTGTTGTGAGTAAAAGTAGGCGTTCTGTCAGTAACCGCTCTAGTCTAGTTAGTAAGTTGAAAGAGGGAAGTAAAAGCGACAGTTTTATTGCGGACAATGCCAATTTTAGACATTCCAACTATACATGTTTCTAAGCTTATACAAGGGCGGTTCAATAAGTACCCGTGTTTGAAGACAGAGGGCGTTCCTGGGGGAAATTGGTTTTATCATCGTGTGCTGCCATCTATCAAACCACGCCAAAACGAATTTCAGACTGATTGATAGGTTAGTTTGGATTTGGCAGCCATTCGACTGAGACGTGTTTCGTTATTTTCGCTAAGATGGAAAAAGAGCAGTATCGTTCGGTAACTCGCTTTTTGTTTTTGGATGGGAAAAAATGCGAGGAGATGAAAACAAAGTTGGATACTGTTTATGGAGACATTTCGCCATCTACGACCACAGTTAGATATTGCTTCAACGAATTTAAACGTGGGCAAAGATCCGTTTTTGATAGGAGCGACCAGGAAGCCTGGCAAACGTTGTTACCGAGGAAATCATTTTACGGATTTTTTAGGAAAAGGAAGAACGATCACTGGACAATACTACAGTGAGTTATTGGACCGCTTCGACAAAAAATTGAAGGAGACACGGACGCATTTGACGAAAAAGAAGGTGCGTTTTCAACACGATAACGCACCGGCACATTCATCAGGAGTTGTTGCCGCCAAAATGCATGAATTACGTTATGAATTTGCTGCCGCACACCCCGTTCTCACTCGATTTGACTCCCTGCGACTTCATCGTGTTCCCTACCATGAAGAAATGACTAGCGAGAAAGAAATTTAGCTCAAACGAGAAAGTCATCGCCAAGACAGGGGGTATTTTGGAGAATTTGACAAATCTTATTTTGTGGAGGGGTAAAAAAAATGGCAGGGTCGTTGGGAGAAGTGTATCTTTCTAAAAGGGGACTATGTTGAAAAATAAAAAAAAAATTAAAAAAAAGGTGTCTTCATTTCTAACACGGGTACTTATTGAACCGCCCTCGTATATAATATAAATACCTACCTTAGCCAATCGGAACGGTGTATTTGTTGTACCTTTTATATAATTATACTGCATTGTCCATAATATGCTTATTTTAAATATTTATTAGCTGACATTGCCCCTTGAAGCATTGCGATCAGAACAGAAGGGCCCTCTTCCGGCTCCGGACTTGACCCAGTGGTTCGACGACGATCTCTGGTCAAGAGGTCAAATATTACTATGTCTTTGTTATAGCACCAAAAGAAGAGCACTCTTGGTGACGATCGTGAAATGTGCAAATTTACTACCTATGGACAATAATGGATTTTCGGACCCCTTTGTTAAATTGTAAGTTGATACTGATTCAAGTCCAAGTCCTAAGTTGTGTATTTTAAGTTAAACTAGTTAGTTTACGAGCATGTTAAATCAAGTTTTATATCTATGGACCATGGGTGGCGATAAATACCTTTAGTGGCCCACAACGTTACGTAGAAATCTTCACGTATTGCCGAACAGATTAAAACAGTCTAACAAAAATAAATAAAAAACCGATACCTCTGCCGAAATTAACAATCAAATCGCGCGGGTATGTTAAGTTAGCTGCTTTGTGTGTGAAAACACGGAGAAAATAGATTTTCCCGGAAATGAGACCTAGCTAGATCATGATTTCGCCCCTCCCCCCCTAAACTTGTAACTTTCATCGAAATCGTTGGAACCGTTTCCGAGAATGCGATTACCATCAATCAAATATCATCATCAAGGTCGTCAGTCCTAAGACTGGTTGGACAATGGACACGCACCTCCACTCCTTGCTATTCTGAGTTAATCTTTGCATTTCCTTAAAACTAGAACATCCCACGTCCTTAACTATTTGCCAATAGTAATCTAATATAGGTCTACCTCTACCCCTCCTAACTTCCGTTCCTGCCTCTAATATGTCTCTGACTAGACCTTGATGTCTGAGAAGGTGTCCTACTAACCTATTGACTTCCATAGAGGCCTCTGTTCTCCTACTCCTTCTAATATCTCTTCATTTCTAACCTTCTCTATCCACGGTATCCTCATCATTAGCCTGTAACACCACATTTCGAACGCTTGTAACCTTTTCCGCGGCACTCACAGTCCATGTTTTCCAGCCGTACAGCGTTCCAAATATACACCTTTAAAAACCTTAAATTTCTAAATTAACCGTTCGCGAGCATAGAAATGACTTCTTCTTATTCAAACAAATATAAAACAGATGAATTGGTAACGTTTTTTTTAATCTATGTAACCCACATTTAACTATTTTCCACTCTAGAATTCTTCTCATGTTTTTGCCTTTGTACCTACTTGCAAAATGTATGCAAAAGCATAAAACTTCCCAAAAGATAGTAATAAAATTTTTTAACTCCCAACAATTCCGTTAGGAAGGTTTCAAGAAAGGTTACAAATCACTAATAAATTTAGGAATGGCAATTTTTAGATAGTTTGTTATTAATGTAGTTATTTCTGCCATTTCAGGTACCTTCGGCCAGATCCCTACCACCGAAAACACAAGACGACAATTAAGTGGAAAAATCTAAATCCTGTTTACAATGAAGAATTTGCTTTTGAAACTAGGCCGACCGAATTGTCAACCCAGAGCCTTCATTTAACAGTTTGGGACAAAGACTACGGAAAAAGTAACGACTATTTGGGAGGACTTGTTCTGGGAGGGTTGGGATCAAAGGGTCGTCGACTCAAGCACTGGCTAGACGTCATCCGATATCCTGATCATAGACACGAATATTGGCATAATTTAACAGATGAACCTATAGGAGACTGATGAGGAATGTGTGCAGATCACAGTTAAGAAATGTTACATTATTCTACACTGTTTTTTGAGGGCAAAAGACATATAAAATATTTGGATCGCATTTAGTTAACCCTCTTCGTTCTGGACGTTTGGGTTTTGGAATTTCATTTCAAGTTGGTGAACTGTGAATTTCACCTAGTGCGTGGAGTTTTCCTCTTCCTTTCCCTATCAATACCCTGGCTATGGGCTTCCCTTATTTGCTTTAATTGTTTGTTACTTAAGAACTACGCTAGATAGAGCAGTTAAAAGTTGGACCAAGAATTATCAATACATAGGCGTACCTACACTTCTAAAACCTTAAAATCGTTTTAAACTGAACTCAACGTGACCCCGTGGACCGCAGACTTCTAATGGATGCTCAGTAATTTATGAACATTATAAGGGTTGAGTATTGAGATGATTAACCTGTAAGACCTACATTCGACTACTGATTATAACCATAAAAACAACAAATAAAATTTCAACTCTTCAATAAGATTCCTAGCTAACCTCGAAAGATCATTAAAGATGAGACTATGTTGTGTTTCATTCCCTCCTGCAAATACTTGCTCTTTGTGAATCGTGGAGTGGAGAGGATAATGTTGGTTATTGAAAGGTAGGCGAGACACACAAGGTGCATTTTTTGAATTAATTTTACCCACTACAGATAACCTCAAATTAATGAGGAAAGATTGTAGCTTATGGTAGAATACTGGTGCGCAAAACCAGGTTCGATTCCCGGCAAGAATGTGACGACTGCAACAATTTTAACTTATTAATTTTAGGTTATCTGTCGTGAGTAAAATTATACTTCATTTACTTTCTCTAGCGATGTGCCCCTTCCAATGTCTTGGAAGCGCGCTGGCAAAATCGTAGGTAGGAAGAAAAAAACTCATTATACTCTCGACTCTTGTTCATTAAACATACTTTTTCATACAGTACCTGCTAAAAGTTTTGTTCAATCATGATAGTATTGCGAGTCGAAAACAATCGTTAAAGCCTTTAATATTCCTTCAAATATAAATAAACATCTCGTTGATATTTTCAGTACTAAATGGTACCAATAACAGCAAATTTGGGCAATGCAATTGTAGTGGATAAAATGGTCAATTTTTCCGTGCAGTACTGTACGGATTATACGCTCCTCACCGGTTAAGAGTTTGGCCGAGAGTTGTCTCTTCCTTTTTTGGCCTAGTGCTGTTCTTTTCTGGTTTGCGCCGGTCAAACTGAAGGTCACATCGCTACAGAAACTAAACAAAGTATAATTCATTTTTAGGTTAAATTAACGCGACTAAAAAAGTATCACACAAAGTAAAGTCAGTTAAAAGGAGAATGGCTACCTATTAATATTAGTGCCCCAGACTGTACTTGCTCGGTCCAACCAAACTAAAAAAACCGTGCACTAAGAAAGGTAGACTTAAATCGATCCTATGCCCTGCCAAATGTTAAGCCACCATGTAGCCAATAGACCACGCCGCTCAATTGCGAAAAAGTACCAAAACTTATCCATATCCTTATTTTACCCAAATGTGTCTCTATATCGCTACACTAATTGATGACAAGACTTTTGTAGGTTCTTAGCAGTAGGTATGTATGTGGTTGGTTTTAAATTATTATAGCAGCATCAGCAACAGCTAACTTAGCTATTAAATAGGTGGTGCTTTGAAGAACGTGATGATTAAAAGTATTTTTATAACCTCAAAATATTCTTATACGCTAGAAGAAGCTAATGTTGTACCCTATCGATAAAAACGGCTTTAAATGTTTTGTATGCGTATTGCGTATAAGTACCTAAGGACTTGATGTATTTATATGTATTCGTGTAAAGATATTCTGCATTTGTAATTAAGTTAAAAGTGGAATCAATAAATACATAGATATTTCCATACATACGAGTAGTTTTGCCTTGTGATAACGGAGGCAAGCCATTTATATACACACGTGTTGTTGATAAGATGCTAGATATTTTAAAATTAATGATGTAAAAATTATTAATAAATTAGCATGAATGCCAAACCAGAGCGCAGCATTTTATTTTCCTATATTTGCCTAATTGCTCGAAAAACTAACCTAACATAACCTAATTTGCCCTATATTTTCGCAAATGTGGCAATTTCTCCTTTCCTTCAGAGTTTATCCACTAAGTGACATAATAAAGCAAAACCATCACGACGTAAAGCTTATGATAGTTTTGAAGTTCTTTTAGTTTTACCATTTCAGATTCACAGTCTGTAAATTCGCACAACAAATGCAATGTTGCCGCCTATTTCATCGAGCAACTGCCAAAAACCTTGGTTGGAGTTCACCAGTACTAGTAGCTAGTGAGAGTAAAATACCCAATAATTTTTTTCCAGCGATTGCTGAAGTGATATAAATTTATAGAAGTGAGGTTGTAGTAGATATGGAGGATGAAGGTTGTAAGCACGAAGCAAAACAGGTGCTAATCGTCTATTGTTAAATCATCATCATCGTCATCATAACGTCGTCAGTCCNAAATTATAGCTTCACTAGAATCTCCATTACATCTGACTTCTGACGATAGCTATGGACCAAAGGGTCATTGCCAAAGAGTACACCAAAATGGAACTAAATCTAAATACAGTTGGGTAGATCAAAATTGGCAAAGTTCGCAATAAATTATCTGTGAGAATCGACATATCTTCTCTCTTATTTCTACTAGGGACTGTAGTCATTTGCTGCGTTTTGAACACGCCTTTGTTAAGTTAGGAAATGCTTCATGAGTTGTATAGGTAAAATGGAAAATATAACCGAATAATTGTAAGCAGTGCAACGGTTAGAGTTTGTTTAGGTACGCAAAAGATCAGGGTCGACTTCATAACTGCCTGGTTGGAATTATATCTTTAAAGAAGCGTCTGTGTTTTCCTAAACTCCTGAGAACGTTGGACTTTCCTTAAAATACAATGCTGGCAGGCAACATGCTGAAATTCTGCTTATCCGCATTTCTTTCTGTTGTACATTAATTGGTGTAATGTTATCCCTTTTTCTTTATTAATGTCCGCTGCAATTCCTATCTGACATCTCTTTTCTATGTTAACGATATTCCGTACAACGTCTGTTGTGAGTAAAAGTAGGCGTTCTGTCAGTAACCGCTCTAGTCTAGTTAGTAAGTTGAAAGAGGGAAGTAAATGGGACAGTTTTATTGCGGACAATGCCAATTTTAGACATTCCAACTATACATGTTTCTAAGCTTATACGAGGGCGGTTCAATAAGTACCCGTGTTTGAAGGCAGAGGACGTTCCTGGGGGAAATTGGTTTTATCATCGTGTGCTGCCATCTATCAAACCACGTCAAAACGAATTTCAGACTGATTGATAGGTTAGTTTGGATTTGGCAGCCATTCGACTGAGACGTGTTTCGTTATTTTCGCTAAGATGGAAAAAGAGCAGTATCGTTCGGAAACCGAGGAAATCGTTTTACGGATTTTTTAGGAAAAGGAAGAACGATCACTGGACAATACTACAGTAAATTATTGAACCGTTTCGACAAAAACTTGAAGGAGACACGGACGCATTTGACGAAAAAGAAGGTGCGTTTTCAACACGATAACGCACCGGCACATTCATCAGGAGTTGTTGCCGCCAAAATGCATGAATTACGTTATGAATTTGCTGCCGCACACCCCG